CTATTCATCGCAAGGTGAGTATTACTAACAAGTTGTTCAATACTTGCAACTCGTATCAAAGTCGGAAACGAGAATAAAACAATTCCCTTCTCTTATATGCGTGCATCAGAATGAATTAGTGAAAGAGTTATATGACTCTATCTTATATTTTTTGCATCTCTATTGAAAGCTGTTCTCCGTTTCGCGGACATGATTTTACATAGTTGAGGGATAATAATATATAAGATGTGTTGTCACGTTATTTTAGACTTAAAACATGATATTCATATTCTTAGACAAACATGAAATTGCATCGAAGAATGACCAGGTATTGCCATTTTTATTATTTGTATAGCTACTTACTTGTTTTCTTATCACCAGCATAATCTAGGAAAAAAGAGAAAGCTTTTTCTTGTGTCATAATTTCATAGTATCTAGATGTCGCAATTAGACAACATGAATTATCCTATAAGTTCTTTATACATTTAAAGACTACAATATATCATCTATCATTTGCCTATATCACCTTTTATTTTACTAAAGTATCTAAATATATTTAGAAATGAACAAAACGAAATGCTGTCACAACAGAATGATGATTCCAGCTCTAATTCTTCTTCTACTACTGCATTCAGGGAAGTACACGAATTCTTACAAGGACCCAAATATCTACTGATCGTTAAATTACCTCTATTTTTAATTGGATCTTTACTTTATATTATTTATTACGCCTGCAGAAAACTAATTGTATACTTGGCTCGTTTGTCTTACGACATTATAATCTATTCGTATACTCTCATCGAAAGAATAGTTTATCATATAAAATTATTGTACACTCCTTTCATAACATTCATTAAATATTGAAGTATAGAATTTTATAAAAATATACTGCAACCTATTGGAATTTTTATTGTCAATAATATACTACCAGCAATCTATAATGGAATTCAATCTATCGCAAATATGGCAGTGTGTTATGGTCTTAAGCTCTATGAACACATTATTCGACCATCGATGGTGTTTTTGTATAGAAAAGTCATTCTACTCACTGCAAGGTTATGCAAAAACATCTGTATTGAAGTTTACTGCTGATCATTCACTTTTCGAGATATATTGGTTTGGGCATGAGCAAATAATATCAAAACATCATGTATATTTATGTATTATCATATATTATTACCTTTCACTCATACAACTAGAAGATTGCTTCATTCATCTTCATTCAAACCTTAATTCCAATTTATAGATTTTTGCAGGACATATGATACAAACTGAAGCCGATTGTTATTCGATTTTCTCTGTGTGCTATCGATCAGATTTTTTGCGCATGTACATTCATGTACCACAATGTCATTAAGTCTCTCTCTCGTTGTATAGTCATGGTCTGCTCATTTATCTACACACAAGTCCTACTACTAGTTGAAAGACTTTTAATTTATATCGTACCAATCATACGACATAAGGTATATCAATTCATTTTCTATTCGAGTCAATATGTACTTTCCAGACTGATGTACTTTTTAGATGAGTATGTATTAAAACCATTTAACAACGTGATGCCTTCAGTGGCATTAGTATTTATCAGTATGCTTACTGTGATTATGAATACAGTTCGTAATTCAATAGATGTTACTGTTCGTGTGATGTTCATAGTAGGCAACACTTTCAAGTCTCTTAGACATACTAATTATAACTCATTGAGAATCGCACGATTTTTATGCAATCGTATTCGCATTTTAAAATAAATTGTAAATAAAAGTCCGAGTCATCTATATCATATTTCAATATGGGATGAACAAAAAAGAATTAAATTGGTATACCAAGTATCGAATATGATGCTATTCATTTTTTTCGATTGCTTCATTATACTCCTTACGAACGTTTAATTCTATAGATGATAAAGATGCCTGTTTTTGTAACAGAGTACCGATAGTCGACGCTTAAAAGTAGGAGTCAAATGAATCGATTCATGGACAACATTTATTCAATGTCGACTGTAGTCGACAGGAAACGGTATCTTTTCAATGATTCAGTCTAAGTGGTTCCTTCGTGTTATTCAGGTCGCATATCCTAAATCTGACAAGTATAAAATTAAAGTGTTTGTAGAGTGAATCACCTTTGTTTTTCTTTTTCTTTATTCTGGCCTATTTCTTTTGACCTACATATTTTGTGAAAAAGAGTTATTATTTTATTTTTCATTATTTCAAATAAAGAGAAAGTTAACCATAGAAGTGATACAATGAATAAATAGAAATAAAAGAACTCTTAAAAATATGCATTTGATAATAAGGGTTCCGATAGAAGCATAAATGCTAACCACGTGAACGCCCGATGTTAAAAACGACATAGAAGACTTATTTGATGATGTTATAAAGAAATTAAAACTACTATTATATTGATTATTTGAATGATAACTTAAATTATATTATGACAAGTGTGGCATTCGAGGAAATAAATGAATTATTCATAAGACTCGTCGCTAAACGTACTTGTACGTTAAAATCATAATTTGATGAAGATTGATTTGTACTTTATAATAAGAGCCATGGGAACTATTACAGGTGATAAACAACTTATAAAAAGCCAACACATGGAACCTCACAAGTAATTATTCTCAAAAGAGCGCATCAAGAAGTCAACGATTATCCAATAATACAAAACAAATACTGAACATGCAAGTCAGCATCAATGTTATTATTATCTGTATCATCATTCAACAATCGCTGTGCAATGTTCTACAGACATCCAATGGTAGTAAGTAGTAGTGATTTCGATATATTATTTATGATAGACTCGAAACGATAGATTGTAAAGTGTATAATACAAGTAATGCTCGTCGCTTCAACTCGCTTAGCCCTCGACTGAAAAAGATATCATATTCAATTTTTTCACAGAACATGTAGTAAAAGAAGTTCACAACAGTTGTACGAAAATGCAGAGTAGTTGTTGAAAATTCTACTGGAAATTTGTATAAACTTTACAACATTTGCCGATAATGCTGTTTACTATAGAGTTCTCTAGGAAAGTAGAAACTCCATGGAACCTTTGACTGAAAATAAATCATATTATATCTGACCTCTGATTAAAGCATCATACACACAACAAGCTCTTATTCAAAGTAGTGATAAGACTAGACAGGTAATTTGAATATATCAGTATAAATTCTGATACTTGAACTAATACAAAGAAAAACATATACCGAATGAAACACTCTTTTATTTTATTCATGTTCACTACTGATACAACGAATATAAATTCTTTCAGTAATGTCTTTGTTCCGATGAACTATTCAGTTATTCTATTCAATCATAAAAATCGTTTCTCATCCTTAACCTGGCATAGTTTTTTCGACTTTTTGTATTTGATATTCCTTATTCAGATCCATTTTACCACAACTGTTGACTTTTATTTAACGAATTCCAACTCTTCGATTCGGCACTTCTGCAGACACGACAGTGCAGCAGCCAGTCGCTCATCGGCGCCCCTCCGGAGCGCCACTCGCGGCTGGCTGCTACCACCTTTGATCTTATTCAACCACAAGATAACTCTTTTCACCTAAACCCTATTAAATGTCATATTGCTATTACTTGAAAAAACTTTAAGATTTACAACATGATGACTCAAGATCGGCTACTCGGAACCAACACATTCTTATTGTTTATTCTTAATTTCTTCCATACCATTGTTCAGCCAATAAATTAGAGTTTTATTGGAGCTATTCATTAAACATATCTTAATTGATTATTCTTCATAAATGGAGGCTTCGCGTTGTTATTTTCTCAAACTACTTTAGAAGGTGTTTACAATAGTAGTCGCTCGTTGCTGACTAATATCTCTCTCACACACTATTCATACTCTCTTGCTGCATTATTTCAAGATATTAATACAATCATTGGTTATTTGGCATTTGCTCTATAGTCTCGAACTTCCCTTACAATACCCTTTTAATTTTTCTTCTTTCGACTTAAATTAAGTGTACGCAGAAAAGCTATTCAACTTAGAAACCATCGTGAATAAACAGTAATCGCCTAATGTTGTATCCATCGAGATGAGAGCCAGTAGGTTGTAAGCATTGTTTTATCACAACCGGACTTAATGAAACGCCCATCTCCTTAGGCATCACTCCGACTCCGGCTTATAACGATACTGTGAAAAGGAAACCGAAAGTAAACAGTAATTGAATATTCTAAATCCACAGAAGGCGTTTCCGAACTCCGAGCTCCCTTTTTCCAAATAGTTTTTTTTTCGCAAAAATAGCTTTCTCCTTAGACAATAATTCAGACAGAAAAGTATCATTTTCTCACATAAACAATTATATTTTTAGAGAAGCCCACTTCAGATTCGGATGCCTCGACCTCGATTTACTTTCGTCAACCTTTATAAAATATCAATATTTTCTCAAAAAACCCTTCTCTCAACCCAAAAAAACTCACTTCAAAATTTTTAAAATCTGACTTCAGATTCGGATTCCCCGACACCGATTTACTTTCGTCAACCTTTATAGAAAATTTTCTAAAGCGGATGTTTTTTTTGACCCCGATGCAGACACACAAACACAAACACACACACACACACAAACTATTTGTTTTCATATGACCCTTCCTACAGTCGAGGGAATAAAGAAATCCCTTTTGAGAACGAATCTGTATTAGTATACCTAATATCCTCATTCTAATAAAACTAGGACAATAGAGTATATTCTACTAAATGTATGGTCTTTTTTATATCTAATTGAATGGTTTAACCAACAAAAAAAGTAATCCTTGAATAATTATGTCCATTCAATAACTTTTTTTTTCGACAGCAATTTATCAATACAATTCCTCCTTCAAAGTGTTTTTATTCAATAACTTATAGCAGCTGATTACGAGAAGTATATCGCTCGACCGTTTAGTCTTTAGGATATCATCAATTATACTCTCTATTCGATTGATCACGTGAACATTTCTTTTCTATATATTTGTCAATACATTGAATAAATCTAAATTGCAGCTGATCGGTTTTGTAGGCAATTGAAAAGTATGCTAACCCATATAGATTATGAACATTTTTTAGAATGGGTTTATACTGGCAATATGACATTTGCACGAGCTGTCCACACAGCATCCATATTAGCCGATGGAAAAGTGGTAGTAGCTGGTGGATGTTGTAATGGTGCGGAGAATAGAGCTGAGTTATATGATCCGTCTACGGGCAGTTGGACTACGACGGGCAATTTAACTCATGGACGACAATTACACACAGCATCTATATTAGCCAATGGAAAGGTATTAGTTGTTGGCGGAGAGGGTGGCGAAGGTGTTTCAAGTAGCGCTGAATTATATGATCCATCAACGGGTGGTTGGGATACTACTGGCAATACGATATATCCACGATGGATGCACCAAGCATCTGTATTAACAAATGGAAAAGTATTAGTTACTGGCGGAGTAGTGGATGAGGGTGTATTTCAAAAGGCTACTGAGTTATATGATCCATCAACAGGCAGTTGGACTCATATTGGCGACTTAAGATATGAAAGAAACTGGCTTACAGCATCTGTGTTAACCAATGGAAAAGTATTAGTTACTGGTGGATACAATTATCAAGATGGATATGTAAGTGTTACTGAGTTATATGATCCTTCAACAGATAGTTGGACTACTACTGGTAACTTAACTAACGTACGAACGTATCATACAGCATGCGTCTTCAACGATGGAAAAGTGTTAATTACTGGTGGACTTAATGGCGATGTTGGACTTCTGACTAGTACTGAGCTATATGATCCATCAACAGGTAGTTGGACCACTACTGGCAACTTGAATGTTCCACGAATGTTTTCCACAGCATCCTTATTAACCGATGGAAAAATCTTAGTTATTGGAGGAGAGGTGTATGAGAGTACAACTCTAAATTCTGCTGAATTATATGATCCATCGACAGGTAGCTGGACTCTCATTGACAGCTTAAATAGTGCACGATTGTTTCACACATCATCCATATTAACCAATGGAAAAGTACTAGTTACTGGCGGATATAATGTCTATTATCAAAGCACTGCTGAGTTGTATGATCCGTCAATGTGACCTAGGACAACTTATGTACTAAAGAAAAATTTCAATACAATAAACGAGTTTTGAAGTTTGATATGATTCTTCTTCTTTTCAAGTATCATTATCATAGTAACAGTTACTGTTAATTTTTGAAAGTATGGATAGATGAACTTAAATTTGAAAAAAGATTAAATCGTACAAATAAAAGCAAAAACGAATTGTCTAATTTTATTTTGTTCTTCCACTTATAAGGGTGAGGTTGAGGTATGTGTGAGCTTTTGAAAATTTTCAATTGTCGATGGACGCAAATATAATATAATATGATGGGTTTATTTATTTTAGGATTTTGTACATTATTATCGTATAGGGTAGGCTTTTTACAGTAATGGGGCATTATCTATGAATCAATAAAGAATCAAATCAATAGTAATTTAACTTTAGTAACACAAGATTTTCATTGGCTGAGAGGAGCTGTATTTTAATCTCATGAGTATATCATCTATTGTTATTCACAAGCATGATGGTGTGAGTTTTCTCTGTGATTTTAATAGTGAGTTACATTCTATATGTGAGTTAGGCAGGGAAATGCTTGGTCTTTGCGAGTGTCTCGATACATAGAGCCCACACTGCGCTCTAAGATTCGGTTCATCCTTTACCTACACCCCACCTTATTTATTAGCAAAAAACTCTCATTAGTGTCCATTATATACAAGTGTGATCACTGGGATTATATTCATGTTGCAGAACTCTATAACCTGCTTTCCGTAATTGAGAAAGTATTTTCTGATGCAATATCGCGTGGTATACGTCACGATTCCACCAATGCGATTCAAAAGATATTTGATAAGGTAGGCTTGTTTCATTCGATTGAGAGAGTAAGTCTGAAAATACCGAATATTCTCCTCCTTCAACATCCATTTTATGAATGTGGACTTCTTTGTGCTTATTTTCTTTCAATATTGTAGCAAAAGACTTGAACAATGAGGCATTTTTTAATATTTGGTTTTGCGTCTGAGAATTGTAAGGATACATAAATTACTGTAACCTTGACACATCGCCTAAACAAATTTAAAGAAAAGTCATTCGTTCTGTCAGTCTCGATGGTGGGTTTGTGCAATCATACGTGTGAATTTCACAAGATGTGTCTTTTAGCAGACGCCATTCAATGTTAAAATTACCAAAAGAACCTAAGCTATATACGATACATTTAATAGGTGGCTTGAAGATTTCAATTCCACATAATATCTTCCTACCATCATGAGTACCACCTCAATCTCCAATATCAAGTGCATAGTTTTTCAAAATTCGGTATGTAATAAGTAGTTGACTACGTTTCCATGAAATCCATTGAGGTTCTAAATCAAGTACTGCATTTGGGGTGGGTGTGGGTTTGAGTGTTTTTCCTGTTCTAGGGATAGTATCAGGCACACCCACACCCACCCTCAAGATAGTGATGGCGAGGGCTCAACACACGAGGGGGTCGATAAGTGTATTTATCCCTTCAAGATCGAAATCTTAAAGAAGTAGACTTATATATTCAATTCTATTTGAGGAAATAGTTATTCATATTTGAATATAAAAAAAAAGAGTATTCATTATTGAGATAGTGTTGGCTTATTTTGTCTCCGTGATTCGCAAACGATGCTCTAACAAAGATGGATCTGAAATATGAACATTTTGCAATCAGTCAACCACCATGAACAGAAAATTCTTAACTCAACAAATAAATATTAAATCACCACAATGAACTATGATAAAATTACTTTCAAATCTCTCTTTGACTTCGATTATAATTCTTTCTACTTATATTCAAATAGATAACCTTTCTCCAATGTTTCT